CAAGTTCATACTAAGGAAGATAGTGAAATGATCCAAAGCAATTCTTCTTACTTGTAAATCCTTAAAAAGTGAGAAAATTAAAATTTCTCAAGTTCACTCAACTGACAAGAGAAAAATAAGTCACCAAGAAAACCACACAGAAATCTAGGTTCATTTAAAGGATTTCACAAACTCAGGTTAAATGCGCAAAGATTCTGAAAATTATTAAACCCCCTCCCCCCAGTGAAAAAAGATAACTTACCTTACCTACATCTTGATGCAAAGGCAGCTTTATTTTATTCTGATGCAGAGTTCATCAACAAATATAGGCAGGCAAAATGAATCACTTGAAATCAAGTGATTTTGTTAAGAGGGCCCTTTTATATGGGGCTGCATCTGATAGACTTTATATTAAGCACCATTTCTTCCAAAACATTCTGTAAAACCAATGACTCCCAGGTATATCATTAGCCTTCATGTAAAACTAGTATTTGGTTATTAACAACAAAGTGCTACATAAACTACACTGCATTATGACTGGCCAGAATAAATCAGGAACATTATAAAAGCATTAATTAAGGAACTTTGTTAAATGATGCTGATTTCACAGTTCTGAACACACTGAGTGGAGAGGAGACGGGAAGCTATTCAACAGTGGTCTGGTAAGTCACTACACATTTTCACCCTTCTACTATATACTCTATAGATATCCTTGGTTGATCTCCAGGTTTTCAGCATTTCCCTCCCAAAGCACAGTACTTCTCATCTCATTACATGCAATTTCGTTTTGACAATCTAGTTAAAACTCCCTTAAGGAACCTGACAGTACACAGCCACAGTAAATGACTTTGCATCCAAAAAACAGCATAGATTTCAAATCCAGTAAGTCCACTTCCCAGTATAAATCCAATTTGATTCTCTATCGTAATGCTACATAAAAGTAAATCATTCTGCTCAAAAGTTAAGTGCCCCTGTAATCTCAGCAATGAGATTCGCCAAAACATACCTTAGCATGGCAGTAGGGAGAACAATTTTCAGTAATACCCCATTTCCCATTTTAACATTTCTAGTTCAAATTGAACATAGGTCTTTATCTCCAAAATTTCTTTTTTTAAAAGATTTTATATTTAATTAAATTTCTGCCTTTAAAAAAAGAGAGACAGTCATTTATTTTGGGGGGACACATCAAAACAGCTTACCCATCTTGGAATTCTTATCATTTCTGATTTTTAAGTGCAGACACCTAAGCTCAATATACCATTTTAAGAACAGAACCACTGCAAAACATATGCACGTTTAAACAGCAAGACGGTACTTCATTTCTTAATAATGAATAAATAATAACAGTGTTTCCAACTAAAACAAAGTTTTCTTATAAGCAGTTTTCAACTGTTTAAAACTTTTCCTAAAAAGTCAGGGACTAGAATTTCTGATTCTTGTTCCTCAAAAACAGAAAGGGAGGACATTTTTTGAAAGCATGTGCTGTAATCACAGCATCTACAAGTACTCATAAAAGGTTTCAGACCTTCAGTGAAATTGGCCAGAAGCTATTCCATACTCAGGTTGGGATTCACATGAATCCTGACTGGGAACATGACCTTTAGAAAAGAAACCTTAACTAGGCCACAGGAGGACTGCACCCAGGCACACCTATTCCAGTGCACTAAAACCTATGTGCTAAAACTACTGACTGGGAGTGAAAGTGGGGAGGGATAGGGGAAAGGAGAAAAAAGGAAGTCATGGTGAAATTCTAGTGACGTAGAGCACAACTGTGAGAATGGGGCAGTGCTGACCTGTAAGTCAGTCACAGGGCAGTAGAGGTGGAAGGGACCACTAGGGGCCATGTAGTCCAGAGGTTCCCAAACTTCCTTATTGCATACCCCTTCCAAATTTACCAGCTGCCCACATACTCCTACCAGCATGTTTTATATTTTAGCCCCTTAAATTCCAATTGTTATTATAATGAAAATTAAATCCACTATTACACAATTTCCCCCATGTACCCCTCAGACATGTCTTGCACATGCCCAGGGGTACACATACCAGTTCAGGAACCCCTAATCTGGTTCATCCTGCCTGAGGCAGGATCATCCCTAGCCAAACTGTGTCAGAGAAGAGTTATGAGTTAGCAGCCCCTAACTATAAAAAGGAGAAACAGAAGTTCATCAGTAAGCTTCCTTGCTGCTCCTCACAAGGCTGCTCTGACCACTCTGTCTTAGCCTGAACATGGTTATAGCAAAGTTGAAAGGTTTGTGACTGAAAGTGCAAAGTACTGTAGAAGTCTCAAGAGTACGTGGGGAAAGTAGCTTTTTTTTGGGGGGGGGGGGGAGTTGACAGTTGCCATGTACAGGTAGTCCTCAACTTACGACTTTGAGTTATGACAAATGGCATTTATGACATTTGTAAACTAAGTTTCAAGGTTCCCATGCCAGTTTCACCTTTATGATGGTCAACACAGCTGCGAACAACTGGTAAGTCTGTTGTGGGGGAAGGGGAATGGAGGGACAGGTCAATGCCCCCGCAGCGTGGGAGGGATTGGGGCTGGGACAAGCGCTGCCCAGGGAGAGGCGGGGGGAACCTGGTGCTGCTGTGCACCACTGGTCCAGGGAGTGCTCGTGTGGCAGCTTGTCCAGCAGCTCTCGCCGCTGTTCCCACTGCCAGTCCAGGAAGGCATGGGACGGAGGCGTGCGCCCCAGGATCTTCACAGGGCTGGTGGGGCTGGGGCTGCACTAGGCGGAAGGCACGGGGAGCAGGGGCTATGCTCCCCTGCCACTCACCCAGCCACTGTGAGACTGAGCTGCAGTGCTGCCTCCAAACAACTGGCATGGAACAGCGGGAGCAGTCCTGGCCTCCCTGTGCCTCCTGGATGAGCAGCAGCTTCGCCCCGGCTGGGTGAGCAGTGGCAGGACATGGGGAGGGGGGGTGCCTCCAGATCGAGGCAGGGCAGGCAGTAGAGCAGTGGTTCTAGGGGAGGGGCTGCAGCAAGTTTTTGGGTGGCGCACACCCCCCACCATGCCCTAATGCCACTCGCCGAGCCAAGGCAAAGCTGCTGCTCATCCAGGGGGCGCAGAGATGCCAAGCTGGCTCCTGCCGCTTGTCCAGAGGCAGCACAGAAGCTGTCTTGTGCCAACCCCAGCAAACTGGGCGAGCGGCGGGGGGGCATAGCTCCCCCTCCCAGCACCTTCCGCCTGAAGTGCAGCCCTGGCCCTCCTGCACAGATCCTGGGGTACACTCCCCACCCCATGCCCTCCCGAACCAGCAGCAGGAGCAGTGGCAAGCGCCACCAGACAAGCCGCCACACAAGCAGCTCCCGGACCGGTGGCGTAAAGCAGTGCGAGCCACCCACCCCCAATCCCTCTCTCGCTGAGGGGACATTGAACTGCGCCCCCACCACAACAAAATTACCAGCTGGACGCAGCTGTGTCAATCGTGGTAAAGGAAACAATACCCCGTTTATAACATTGTTCCTATGGGAAAACTGGTTCTGGCATTACGACGTTTTGACTTAAGATGCAGTTTTCAGGAACCGATTGTGTTGTAAGTTTGAGGACTGCCTGTACTGGAAAATGGCAGTCCTCTCTGTACCTGTGGGCATCTACAGAAATACTACACTCAGTTTCTCTCTACTTATAAAATACTCGCTCTCTACTTACAGACTGTATTTTCTTATTTTCCTACTGAAGCTAAGGTAACAGAACACATCCGTGGGACAGGACCACCACTCTTCTTGACTGGGAAAGTGCATGTGACCAGAGAACATCAAACATCTGTCAGTTTTTCTTTTCTGCATAACTCATCAGCCCTGGAACCGGTATGGTTGCATACAGGAGATGTAGTCAGCCACATCAGTCTGAGGCCAAGTAGAAGGCAGGGTAGATATGCACCTTACAGATGAAGCAGGCTAGACCAGTGTTTCTGAACCCGTGGGTCATAACCCAAAAGTGGGTTGTAAGGATATATGAAAGGGCAGTGAACATACTTTAAAGGTTGTTGATCCATGTTTAAAAATAGATTCTCCTTTAAAAGAGAAAAACATGGGAAACTGTGGCACTTCCTTGCAGGCTGGCAGAGTCCCAGCCTGCAACGAACTGCCTGACCCCCGCCAATGCAAAAGGGGGGGGGGGGG